CTCAAACGAGAAGAGGGGCGGCGGATAATTAGGAGTGGTCCTCAGCTCGGGCTTTGGAGGGTTGAGACTGGAAAAGCTATAGTGCTTCCAGTGGATGTGAGGCAGTGTGGATCTAAAGGTCTTGACAAATTGTGGGTTGGGGAGAGTGAGTCTATACACACCAAAAACTGCAACAACATGCTGAACATCGTGCAACAACCTCAGCAAAAGAGAAAAACAACAGTTGATGAACACTGCCAGTTTGATTACTTTTCGCAGGCAGGCGCACAAGCTTTACCTTCTCGCCCCTACATGACATGCCAAAAGACATTCGGGTTGAGACTTTGTCTTGCAAGGAGTCAGTTGTTCTGGATGCAGTCTTATGGAACACTTTGAGCCGGCATGAAAACATGAAAGATTTTGAAATAGTATAATTGTATCATGTTACATGTTCCTTCTTCACCTGTCGAAGGAAACAAAAAGTCCCACTAGCAACCACCACTGCGCAAGAACTCTTCATCACATTGAATACCTTGCTACTTCACCCTGATACACACAGCGGTGGCATGCGAAAGGAACCCAGCAATAACCCAGCACCGCTAGCCACTTGTAAGACCAACCTGCGGCAGCTGATGGGAGGGCGAGCAACAGCTCTTCATCGTTTTGTGTACGCGATTGTATGCATTGCTCGGGTGAGCATCAGAAGAGCTTGTGTGTGTGTGTGTCCGTGTTCATTTGCGACCCGACTGACTTCTTAGCATCTTCCGAGAAGGCACAGCCAAATGACCGAAGCTGCTTTAGTGTGCTTTGGGAACACCAAGAAAATATTGAAAAGAAATTGCTCGGCATGTGCGGGTGACTTGCCAGCTCAAAAAGAAAACATGCGTAGCCAGAATGCCGCCCTGGAACACATGATGTGACCGCATGATGCTGGCCGCCAAATGGTGTAAAGCTTCTGGCAGTTTCTGGCAATTTGATGCATGTCACGGTTCATCTCATTTTCTCACCCTGACTCCCCTGTGCCCCTGACTCAACCGTTCTTGAAAGAAAGGCGGTTCTTCCAAGCCCTTCCGCTCCAAGGTTGCTTCTTTGTTTCACCTTTTCCAGCCTCTTGCAGCAAGCTATGGGCTCCGGCACTTCCGATGAGCCCTCCTCGCCCGATGCCTTCGCCGCCGTCTCGTCGGGCGCCACCGGCGCAGCGGTGACGGCAGATGTGGCCGGCCTGGGCGGTTTAGCGAAGCTCTTGGGCGAGACAGAGGCGATGTCTGCCATGTCCAGTCGAGACCGCCCAGAGGGTCCCAGTGAGAAGGCGATGTTGTGACCTGGAGAAAGGAGGGAAGGACCAGGGGAAGGAGGAAGGAAGAATTAGGACGGACGAGGAAGGGAGGAAGGGAGGGTGAAACGGAATGTTCGAGAGTCCATTGAAGAAAGATGAAGGGATGGTCTAAATCACCAACCACAGAATGCGTGGGGTAGTATGAGGGGTTGAGATTCGAGATGTATATGTTGGTTTATAGACATTTAGTTTATACAATGGTCACAGTGTTGTGTGGTGAGTCGGCTGTTTTTAGGACAACTTCCGAGAAGGTTTCATGGTCGAACACATGACCAGTCATTACAAACGCTTTTACTTCTTCACCTCCCCAAATATACAACATAGCAGGACAAAGCTGGTAGTTTTGCATGTCCTAGTGGGGGAGGGGTTCAGTAAGAACCAGGGTGAAGGTAGCCTTAGGATTTTGGCGGCATTTGTACTTGTTGTCACCAGGAAGTTTGCAATATATTGGTTCCAAAGCCTGCGTGCGTTATTTTTTGCCTTGGAACCCAATAATCGGGTCTTTGCCCAGGAAAGCCAAGACATTGTGCTATATTCCGATCGAGGGGTGTTCTAGGTGTCTTTTGGCTTGATTTGGCTTTCGAACGACTGCGTCAACCGAAATGACCATTTTGGGTTGTTGCCACATGAGGCCACTGTCATGTTTCAAATCTTTTTCTTTGTGATGTTTGACGCGTGAACCTCTTGGTGTTCTACTCATTTTTGGATGTGTCATGGTGTGTCATTCCTTCTGTGTCTTGGATTTTCAGTGCTGGGACCTGCCTCCCGCCTCCAAAAAGGGACCATTCGCTATAGCACAACCCTCAGGAGCTGCATCTACAAGGTCTTGTGCGAAAACTTGGCGCAGCCCTCTGTCCGGTAGAGTAGCATTGGTGGGGACTGGTCAGACGGGCCAGGAAGGGACCGAGCGGCCAAAGGGATCGTGACACGGAGGGAGCGAGGTATTTCCCATCGTGAGAGTTTCGGGTTCTGAGGAAGAAAAAGAGTTCAGCCAGGGTAAAGACCACTCCATGGGACAGAAAAATGCCGATCAGGCCACGGGTGGTTTTTAGGGGGTCAATGGAGCGGCACATATGGCAGTCCCAGACTCGTCGTGTCTGGGCGAAGTCACTGGAAAGTGAAACACCGCAGGCAACACCTTCTGTCTCAGAAAGCCGTGTGACTTTCGGGGGAACATGCCATCCACTTCCGAGTTTTGCTGAGTTCCAAGGCTTTATTTGCAGAGTGCCTTTTTTGCCTTGATCTTCGAGCGTTTGAGCAGCGCTGGACGGCTGAAGCTCTTGGGATCGATGGCTTTAGGCCTCCTGAGCGCCAGCAAGAAGCTCTTGGAGCTTCTCCTTGGCTGGGTCAAGGCCGGTCCTCTGAGTCAGGTACAACGTCATGTCAACGTCAAGGATCTTTCATGATAGGCAGCACGGTGGGCGCGACGGTGGGCGCGGAGGTCGCATGAGGGTTCTGAGTGGACATGATGTTCCATCAGATAGGCTGTGATGGGTAAATCCTGAACATTCCGAGGACCAGGGTGGTGATCCCATAGTTTGAGTACAGACCAGCAAAGATAGAAGACCAACCTCAGTTTTAGATCTCCAAACGGCGAGGAAATCTTCCAGTATGAGCATGTGTGTCGTATCCCCTTATGGGGATTTGTGATAAGCTAGCTGGTGAGTTGGAGAGGTTCCGATAGAGTTAGCAACTGCGCAACTCAGCGCAGGGCAACAAATAGTAGCTTACTTGTTGGGACGGGAGGCCCACGTAAACATGGCAAGAATGACCTTGACAATCAAACTTGTTGGGAATCTTTGGGAATGCCAATAGTTTGGGAATGTCTGTCTTGAACTCGATGGCACTGTAACCCCCTTGGCCCAGATGGCTGGTTCCCGGTATGTGTGGATGTTTACCTAAACCAGCCATACTTGAATCAGGTCTTGAGGGGGACAGCTGAAGTTCTCCATCTAAAGTACTACTATGGCACCTCTAAGAGTATGAGGCGGCATCACCTGATATACTGATGTTGGGTGAACAACGACATTGATGTTGGTTCTGTGAGAGTGCTACGCTCGAATTGACATTTCCGAAGGCGATGGCAAAAAAGCAAAGGGACGCTACGCCCAGAGAAGCAAACTGATGCAAATTGACATTTGCAAGAGAGTTGAGGAGATTCATGAGTTCCAAAATGGAAGGAGCGAATGAAAGCCAGACTTGTTCTCCGTTGATGGACCAGTTCTCCAGCAACACAGGTTCACAGCATTCGATGATGTTGACACCTTGTTGCTGACTTCATGCACCGAGGCACCGGGGTCCTCCCCTCTCCCTCAGTCCGATCCGACACCCCGGTCTCGCACGCCCGACGTGTCTTCAGGTGCTGCAGCACCATCCAGAGGACCCCCGCTTCGCGAAGCCCTCGGGGTTCCTGGCGCTGCTGCTGCCCCTCTTGGGGTTGCTCCTCGTCACTTGGAGAAAGAAGCGCTAGGGAGAGCAGTGGAAGAATCTGGCCAATGGTAGATGGGGCAGTGCAAGAAATACTGGTTTGTCAGGGGTGTATCAGGTTTGTCACTATCAAGTTCCTTTTACTTGAGGATGACTTTTTGTTAGGGCAAGAAAACTCTACCAAAAAGTTCAGGCAACTTCTAGGAAAGGTCGGCACCGCTTGTCCACTCATCAGTTGCCTTCAACCCACCAGGTGAGTTTGATTGTGGCGAAGATCGTGGCGGCCCATGGCTGCCCATCACATCTCTGGAATTTCACCTCCGGCTGTGTCGCTGAGTCTGCGATCATGTGAGAGAAAAGCGCGGACTGGGCACGGAGAGAAGGCTCCCGGCGCCCACAAGCTGGGCAGTCAGACTGGGTATGAGTTGAATAGGGAGACTCCCAGGCCCAATGGGTTGGGCGACCTAGTTTATATAACTGCGCTTCTTCCACGGGATCGTTGCCTGGGAGGTCTCCCTAGTTTAATTCACATTCACATCCGTTAATGGGCTTTGTGAGTTCAATTTGGCGTGTTATGGCACGCATCTCCCACCGATCGTCTAGCTCCGCTTGGGCAGTCCTGTCATCCTCAAGAATCCCTGAAATCTGGGGTGAAACAGGGCCAACACACAACCTGCAGTAACCTCCAGGACCCCAGCGCCCTGGCCCTTCACCCTGGTGTCGGAGTGGCAGGGTAACGGCGGGATTGGCACAGAAGCTACCCTTTCTCTCTCCCGACCTGGTGAAAGAAGACTTGCAGCATCTGTCCAGCTCGCTGTGTTTAATTTGCTTCCCTCTGGCAACCAAAAAAACGGTTCTGACATGTTCTGATTAAACATTTGCCAGAAAGGTTCGCAAAGCGAAGTGCCTCATGCAGCTGCGCTCAAGTAAGAGTCGTTGGGAATCCATGAGTCGTTGTATTGGTAATGTAGACTAGTAGGCTGTTGGCTTTTGGATGTCTTCGGATGATAGAGGATCGAGAACATGTTTGCTCAGCCATGCAGATATACAGCGATCGGTCAACTCATGGGGTATGTCAAGTCTGAAGCTGGCAGACAAATAGAACGCACATTAAACCATGAATGTTCGGTTCAATAGAAGACTACTTGGCCATTCTCTGTTTCCCACATCCAAAAAAGCAAACCTTGACACGTGACGTTTTTCTTCTCATTGACGTCAAGAAAGAGGATGGCGGTACCGGGACCGGCTCGGTGTCCAGGAGCAAGCAAAGCCAAGAGGAGCACCGACAGCTCAAGTCCCTGATCACCCAACTGGCTGAGCGCCTCGGTCGTCAGTGACGCACGTTCGTGACGCACGCACGAGGTCGTCAGGGACAAACAGTGGACAACAGGGGCATAGCCGGCACAGCGGTTTGGTGCTTTTGGTCCGAGAGGTGAGGAGATGTTTTGTGCATTGTTGTGCAAAAAGGCGCAAAAAGTGAATGATCTTGGAGAGGATATGAAGAGCTGGATAGCAGGGATAGCAGTTGTGTTTTTTCTATGTGTTTCTTACGTTTGCTGTTTTGGGAGGTGTTGAGTGCTCCAAGGATACTGAGCAGGATGGGCCTCTGGTATTTCAACCAGTGTGGTTTTGCTCCAAGGTGTATGACTCTTATTTGAGGGGCTATGAGGGGCTCTTGAACATCCAAGGTTTTTGGGATTCATGTGGGGATTCAGCATGTAGTATGCGTGCTTATTCTCATGAATGCAACAAGCTATGTTTTTCTGTGTCCTCAGACGTCTAACAAACGTCTAACCATCGCTGTGCTTGCAGCTTGCAGCATTCCGTGGTGATCGTCGTCGCGTCGCAGCGTGACCGGCGTCTGCGTGGACACTCGGTCCCTTCGGTACCACCGTCGGTGTCGCTGGTGTCCACGTCGGTCTGGTTCCGTTTCATCGGGTCGCTGGACCCCGCCATTGTTCGGTCTCGGCTGCATCGTCCCACGACGTCGGATCGAGGTCTCGGCATTGGTGGATCCAGACCTAACCCGATGGGACTGTTTTCTAGATGCCTGGTTTCTAAACAGTGGTTTCAGACTAGATGGCACAAACCCTTAAATTAGGTCTATAAACCACCAAACTTGGGGATTGTGCCATCTAATGACTTTCCATTCACCGGTCCATATGCCAGCCTCGTGGTTCATGTCTAGGATATTGGGCCCCCGATTGGTGACCTCAAACCATGGAATGAAGAGGTCACTTGAAAGAACCTGAATTACATGAATTTTCTTGGAAAACGCTGCAACTATGGAACCACTCTCAAATCCAAGGACCAGGAATCCAATTCATCAAGCTAAGATCTTCAGGCCCAGCCACTCCCCCTTCTCGGGTATTTATTGTGGACAATCTTCTCCAGCAGATTCCCTCAGGTGGGTTTCCAGAGTATTATTCCTTCCCCCCACCACGCGTGAAACTATACCAAAACATGTAGATATGATATCGTGTTGTTGACTCGGTGGTTCTAGTGACTCGGTGGTTCTCCAGGATCCCGTTTCACGCCGGTTCACCAGATCTGTGAACACAGTGTGCCCCCCCTCAGGTCTCGTGGCCAGTTGGAGGATGCGGCAGGACAGAAGCGGAACAGCTTCAAGTTGGCGGAACACTACGTGTCTCGCAGAGTGAAACCCTCCGCGGTCCGGGCGGGTCCGCAGTGGATTGGGGCGTCTACAGTCTACGGATCCAAAAGGTTCGTTCGTCCTGGCACCCACTACAGTTGGTTTCAGAGTAATGGCACAATCCACAAGTTATATAGAAGACATTTTGGGTTTGTGGCATCTACTCTGAAACTACTGCAGTGGCTCAACTTGAGGCTCTATTTTTTAGGCATTGGTTTTCCCTAAAGACCGCATGGTCAGCATCATGTTTCGCTGGGGTCTTCGTGGCACCTTCAGATGCCGCTACCACATGCCACTGGAATTGCCCAAGCCCAGAACACGACGGAAGTTATCAGAGATGGCAAAATCTGCAGTGCTCCTGACAGTGCAGCGTTTTCCGCACCAGAACTCGTGGATCAGTATGGAAGGAACATCGTCATGGAACAGGGACAACACTAGCAGTTCCTTGTTTGGTGTTTGATACTTGGATCACCAACAGTATGGCTCAATGCCCGTTCACGACTTTGGACTCGGAATTTCACCGGTGGTGTGGAATTGTTCCACGGGAATCTGCAGTTGCAGAGATCTGGCGTCCCATCCATACTCTTTATGGAGGTGGAGGGCCTGGGACCTGTGATCATGGCTGTTAGAGCCAACAGGGAGGTGGTGGAGGGCCACTATATACTACACTTACCGACAGTCTCAAACTGACAAGTCCACCTCTTACTTTTTCAGGTTTACTAAACATCTCCCGCTTGAATTCAATTAGAAGGTCTCATCTTCTGGCTCATGCTACAAGAGTTGGTAACTCTTGTAGCTTTTGAAAGCGCCAACCATTCATCTCAACCATTTCAATCTTAGGACGATGCGCCAGGCAGGTCTTAGGACTGTCAAAACGCGACATGGAACGACCAAGTTTTGCATCGTCGAAGCGAGTCGGTGAGTCGAAGGAGTCAACTGAGTCGGTGTGTGCGTGCCTTGCCGCCTCGGCCGCTTTCTTTGCCTTTGTGATTTATGTTTGAGACAAGTATTCCAACAGGCAGTGCCAGCACAAGATAGCACAAGTATGTCATGAAAACAACACAAGTTCGCTCATTTGTTCTTCCACATTCACCCCTTTTCTTCCACAGGGTGCTCCGCGACTTTTGCTTCGTGCTACGAAGCAGCTCCGGATTTGCCGCAGGTGTAGCAAGGTGTAGCATGGTGTAGCACTTTTTGGGAGTCCACCAGATGGTGTTATAGTAAAATACTCTAATCACGAAAGGTAGCTTGAGCTACCTGAGTTACTTGTGATTGCATGCTACCTTTCGCTCACCCCCTCCTCTCTCAAGTTGACGTAAACTGACCAGTTGTATACTGTACCAACTTAGCCATAGGTCCGCTCAGCTCCTTTCGGATTGCGCAAAAACACACCTCCGTCCTCTCTGTTGAGGCACGCAAGAGCATACGGATCGGAGCGGGTTTGCTGCAGAAGTGGCTAGGCGGAGATGGAAGGGGGGACCACGTTTTGTTGGATAATTGCACCTAATTACTAGACTGACGCAACTACCTGTAGTGGGAGAAGAGCAGTTGTACTTACAGAGGGTGACGAAAAGTTCAGACTTGATGTTCATGCCAGGTAAAGATGATGTTAGAGGTTTGGAAGAATCGTGACCAATGGTCACCAACAGGGTCCGTGACTCGTGACTCATGAGGTTATACGACGAGTTGGAGAAGGAGCAGCGAACGTCTGGCCAGTTGGATCTCAACCGGTGAATCTTCATGGTTTCCCTAGGCCTTCGCAGGTCGAACCTTAGGCCTTCCCAGTCATTTTACCTCTACTACCCTCGAATGACTAAGGAGTTAAGGGACAAATCCTCACTCATCAGAGGCGCACGTATATATATATATATATAGACAAATGTTGTGCTACTCTCAGAGGGTGGCAGTGGATCCATCGGCTTCCAACAAAAATCAAGTTCTACCGTTTGAGAAAGTGGTGATGCTTCGAGGGCAAGTAAGCAGAGTCTGGTGAAACACCCAACGAAAGGAGTCATACGTAGAGACCCAGGTGCCTAGCAGAGGACCCAGGTGTTCGATCCCAAATCCTGACCAAAGCAGTGCCATTTTAACGTGCGGAATGTCTCGCCTTCACATCCCACCGAGCCTCACGCAGCACCCGCAGTGCGCTGGTTTTCCAAAGAGCGCCAGACTTTGACCGACGGAGAGACCTCAGCTCATCGGAAAAGCATCCCAATGTAGTATTGTGAAATCTTGATTCATAGCTCCCCAAAAAAAAAATCTGGAGGGTCAAGACCATCCGATGGTCCGATTGTCTTGAACATTTATCCAGATTCCACCGTTGCACCCCCTTCCGTCTTGCCGCCCATGCTGAAGCATTGAAATCTTCTGAAAACTGGTGGTTCAGTGCTTCGGCCATCTGTGGCATGTTCCGTGACACGTTCCGTGGCACGTTTGCTGGCTGGTGCGATTGGCCGCTCTCCACCCTGATAGGATGGACAGGACATGACAGGACCCTTCACCGCAATAGATACCTTACAAACCCTTACAAATTCAATGGAATCCTTAGGAATCTTTTCCTTCATTCCTTAATTGCCAGTCGCACTGCACACGTTTCACAGGAGGACTGGAAGGTTTGTGTGGCGAGCCGTGGTGACGCGGAAGAAGAAGCCGCCAAGCGCTGTGGTTCCGGATCCTTTGTCGTGCCTCAGCTTTTATTGGAGCCATGGGATGTTTTCTTAAGCCGAACACAACCTGTTTGAGACTGGCATATTTTACATACACCGGGGTGGTTGACCTTGGGTCAAATAGGCAAGAAAGAGGTCACTTTTGAAGGTCCTGGAATATATTTAAGAATACTCATATTATGTCCTATATTCCCATGCATGGAGTGTTTGTTTGGGAAGCTGCTGAAACCTGGAGAGGTGTGCTACAGCCTTGGGGTTGGGTCGGACCCATGGCGTCCCCATTTTTTTTGCGGACGTGTTCGATCAGATCCCGCGTTCCGATCGACCATTCAGCAAATGGCGGACCTGGTTTGGTGGTCTCAAACCCTTGAAAGGAAGACAGTGGCTAAACAAGTACAGGATCAATTTGTTCGTTGCCATCTCTCCGTGGATTGGCAACCGGCCGGTGAAAGCCGTGTACAAAGCAGATTGCAGGGGATAGTTAAAGGATCTTAAAGGTTTAGATGAATCATGGGAAATCCAAGTTGCTTCAGTGCTTGCCAAAAAGATTGAGGAAAGAATAGGAAAGATTGATAACTCATGTGTTTGTGGGCCGTCAAAAGACTGGTGCGACTACGTAAGGAATGAGGGAATGGATCCGATCAGATATTTATAGTACATAGCTCTAGGGGTCATTCTTTGATTCTCTACTATGCACCAGTCAGAAGAGGGTGTTCAGATGTTCTTTGGTTTCAGGAGTTGAATCCTTTTGAAAGTGACACATACCAGCCTCAGTGAGGCATTCTTTTTGACAGACAGCCTCAGTGACGTAGAAGGAGGCAAACTTTTGTGCGAAGAGGCGTGTGAAGAGCCTCAAGGTTCCCCCCTTTGGATTTGCTTCAGATCATGTGGATGTTCCATGAATTTCCTCTACAATCCGCTTCAAATCGCCGAAAAAAGCTGGTGTCCTTTTGGGCCCGGTTCCTGGTTCCAGCACAAGAGTCTGGCGTCCTTCGGCGGACCGGACGGGCAGATGCCAACGAAGAACGCGACGAGTCCTTTAGCTCGAAGTCTTCTCCAAGGAGCCTTCAGTCTGACCCAGGTTCCGCCTGACCCCAAACCTGGTCCTTTACGAGTCCTTGACCTTATTGTTTGCTTGCGTTCTTGTATGATCAGCTCCAAAAATGAGGTGTGCACTGACCTGTGCATGGTACACTCCCTGAAACCATGGATGGGAAAATGGCCCCGAATCCGAATACCAAACAGCCTAGGTGGTGCTCCATTTGTCGATTTCGCATGTTCCATGGCACGTCAAAAAGGAGCACCACCACCACCACCCATTTTACGGAACACCCAAATCGTGGGAGTCTTTACTCCCGACGTGACGCTTTCGGGGGGAGAGCTGCGGTCACCGATTGAGGCTTCGGAAGATTTGGATGCGCTGATCTATGGTGCACCCAGGTTGATCAGTGACTCGGGAAAGAAGAACTACATGCTGAAGCATCGGAGGTATGCAGTAGAGCTTTATAAGCCAGTCCTGATTTAACAGATTCAGCTAAAAGTAGAGTGAACGGCGAACGGTTCAGGTTTATTGAGATCACTTGATTGAGAGTCTCTTTTTAGAGAAGCAAGACGTTTTGTTCTCTTTCAACGGCTCAGGTTACATCGATCACTTGAAGGAAAGGAATCACGAGGAGTTCCTCCGCCAGCGGCGCGGAGCTACAAGCACCGGCTGAACGCTCGGAGCGCTCGGTGGAACCGATTTTCTCGGGTTTTCCAGGTCCCCAGAGCCCTAAGAATCCGGGCCCGAAGCATCACTATAGGGTTTGGTGAAGGGGCCTGGACCCCTGCGAAGGTGTGGGGTCCGACCCCTGGTATGGAGAACCCAACGGATTGTTAGGGTTCATATCATTTCAGATATGGGGCCATGAATGGAATCGAATGCATTCTTGGAGCACGCCAATGTATTGCTGCAGGTGTGCTTATTGAAGTTGTCTTGGATGGTTTTTTGTAAAGTTGTTGGATTGCCACCCTTAGGTAGACAGGCCCCGGAAAAACAAGGGCGCCAGATGTTGTCCTTGTGGGGTTGACTCATTAGTTTTTTTGGCTCAGTGGGTCGGGGTGGGATGAATAGAGGACGGATGTGTTGGTCTTGTGGTTGTGTGCCTCCTTGTGGTCTGGCTTGTTGGTATCTGACAGTATCTGTCACCAATCACTCCAAAACCAACCAGAAAACCGCCGCAGATATCAGTCACTTGATCCATGAAGCTTTGGGCTCGATGTTTCATTGGGAGACCTGAGGTGCGGTCCGAGGCGCTTGGTTTGGTCCACGGCTATCGGGCCCCAGACATGGGCAGAATGGTTGCAGGTGGTGGTGGTTGGAAGTGTTCCAACGCTTCCTTTCTGTGCTTTTGATCCAACATCATACTATCAACGGTCACTCCTGACGGCATGCGTTTCGGATTGAAAGGCCGTCCAGACTGATCCCTCTCCAGTTGGATGATCTTTGATGTCTTCGACAGAGTGTCATTCGATGTCTTCGGTCGACGGAGTGTGAAAGTGAACCTATAAGTTCAGCCAAAACGCCCTTCAACTTTTGGCGGATGGATCACTCCTACGGAATGCAGCTCCTTTCCAAGAACGGAACGCTTAGAAATGCTCCAGACTTTTGGCAGGAGGCAGCGAAAGAGGTGGAGAGGCAGAGGAGAAGAGTCCATCCCTACTGGATCGAACTTGAAGAGTTGCCCCTTGGACACGTGGGGCACTTGGGTCAGCGAAGGGGGGGCTGTTTGGGGCGCTTGGTTGTTATGAGGTAAACACATTTTACGAGTTTCTGAAGGTTGGATGAATCAAGAATTCATCGAGAGGTGAACCAACATTTGAGTGGATGGAATCATTGAAGTTCTGGTTTTGTGTTTTGGGATTTTGGAATTTGCTTGGAACTGCCCCTCGTCTCGATCATCTCAGTCGCGGTCTGGTCCTTTTGAGCTAGTCCAAATGGTATATTTCATCATATTCCAGCACCCTCCAACAGGTCTCCTCTGGATGGTTGTTGGGCCTAACAGGTCTCAATTGGTGACCTGTTGGAGGGTGCTGGTTTACATATACATTGGGGTGGTTAGCCAGACGGGTTGTACAGCAGGCGGCATGCAGTCTCAGACAGGCCGTGTTTGGGAGCAAGAAGATATCAAGTGATGTTGCATCCCATGTTGCACAAACGCGGAAGGCGTCCGTCTCAGGAGGTCTGAGGAGAATGCATAGGCATGATGTTCTGGATTGTGGTACAAACTGCTCTGCAAATGTTGCCTTAATGTTTGCTTGAAACATGAGTATATCTATATAATTAGGATAAGTAATTGGGATATGTGTTTACTTTATATATGTATATATTGTATTGTATAGGGAAACAGCATGTATTGGCCGTATAAATTTGTTTTGAATTTGGAGGACCCACACGTTCAAGCACATTACCCAGCTACGCCCCCAAAACTGCCGATGTTTTTGCAGATGTGTTTCGCATGGGAAGACCACCATGTTCGAAAAGGATGTGTTTTGTCCACCCCAATATGTTCGTCGGTGTGTATAACGATGGATCACGCCTAAATGGTCCGAGAGCCTTGACTAGGATGGGCCTTTGGGGAAGGTCGGGCACCCTGTCGGTCCCCACCAATGTATAGTAGCGATGCACTAGTAGCAAATAGCGACTAGTAGCGATGGCCTCCACCGTGTGTAGCGTCCTTGCTACCAGTAGCTTCTAGCACCCATCCATCCTTAAAGATTCCCACCGATGACGGACACTTTGCTCCAAAAGCCCAGGAGAGAGACCTTGGAATTCACCCAAGGCTGGGCGAAGAGTCGAGGGTGTTTGGCCGATTGCTTCGACCAGGCGGAGTTGGAAGTTGCCACGAAAGAGGGGTTCGGAGTGTAATTCTTCGATCCAATTCTATTAGACTCAAGATCTTGGGTACAAATCAATCCCGCTTTGTGGAATGGTATAGTTTCTACCGTTCTTATGTGCTCTGACGATCGCTTCAATTGTAGATCTGCCATGTCGTGCCTGCATCCTATCAGACGGATTGACCCTCCAAAGCGATCAGAACATGTCGGGCTCCTGCCCTTGCTGGGGTTGGGGCGCTATGGACCGAACACAGTGAGAGGGCAACCATGCGTACCTGGGCGCAGTTGGGTACCCAGGCATGGATTCGAGATGACTTGGACCATTTGGTCAATTGATCTGATTGGGAGCAATGTATGTATGTCTATATATATTATTATACACTGTGTATGTATATATATATATATATATTATAGTACTATTTTTACATGTATGTATATATATATACATATTATTTTGTGTTTTTGAAGAGTTCTGCGTTCTTTTGAAGACCTTTTGGGTCTTCTCTTGGCACATTTGGATGCCCCAGGATTAGGAGTCCACTGGCCGTCGCTTCTGAGGACAGCTCGTTGAGTTCGCGATTCTGTGTGGTTGCAGCTTGTAGGCATTTTGCATGGCCAAACCAAAGGAAAGGAAGAGACAGACAGACGGACAGACAGAAAGACAGAAAGACAGACAGAAAGAAATAAAGAAAGAAAAAGCAAAAGAAAAAATAAGAAAAGAAACAAAGAAACCTGGGGCCAATATAGTCCTATATTCCACACATGGAGTGTTTGGGTACCATTTCCCAGCAAGCGGACCCTTTCGAGCATCTCTCTGTATCAACATCACTAGTCACCCGCATGCGACCTTCGTTGAAACAACGTCCAACGACCTTCGACCTTCGACCGGTGGTTGTTGTTTGCCGTTCGTTGCTGATTTGATGTGATGCTTTGTCGTCCAGTGGATTGACAGTGCCCTTTGCCGCGGGTATGACCCTCTATCCAAGAAACATGGAAGTGGAAGCATGGCCCCGTGCAAGACTGATTGTTGGAGGGAGGGTACTCAGATTCATTCCTTTAAACCACATGCAGTTTTCTGTCGTTTGAACCTTTGAGGCGACTATGCCACAAGGCGCCAGATGGACTGCGCTACGCGTTACAACACCGCGAGAGAGAGTACCGTGATCAGTGAGTCCAAAAGCCACCGCCTCCCAGTAGAAGGCTCCCAGTAGTAGAAGGGGTCACGCAATGTAGAAAACCCATCAACCTTTGTCTCGCAGCATAGGAGGAGAGCATCCTTTGTTCTTTTTGGAACACAACAAAACGCATCAGTGAGACATCAGAATTCAACCCCCGACTTATGGGACTGGCGACTGGCATATGTCATCATATTTCCATTCTGCGTCGGTGGTTGACCTGGGGTACAGAAAAGAACGGATTGGATCCTCACAGTTCCCAGACAGCGGGACGGGGACGGGAGGACCAACCAGCGATCTTCACCCGATCCGTCTGTCAAAAGGCGGACTCCTCCAATCGATCCAAGCACCCCAGCCATGGAAGATGGAAGATCCACCAGTCTCAGAAAGATCCAGGTCATCCAATCACCCCTAAGGTACGGTGAAGATGACAGCGACAGGTGGCGTTTGGGACATGCTATGTGAAAGCCTTTCTGATTCTCAGGTAAGTGGACCGCCTCATTGACGCCAGGGTCAACCACGACCACCAAAAGGTATGGTAAATATGCCAGTCTCAGACAAGTCGTTCATTGGATTCGTGGTCCATCCACTTCACCCGTGGTCCGCGGGGCTCTTTGCCGACGGCTTTTGGCCAGTTTGCCCGGCATCGGTCCCTACCGTGGCTTTCGCATCCTCAAAGACTACGGATCCATTGGTCGCTTCAGGCGCTTCCAACCGCCGCTGGGTTTCTATGTTCCAGCTCCGTTGTGCGCGACGCGACAAGATGATCTGAGAACTTCGAGTTTCACGACATATCCTGAAATTCAGACGGCTTGTCCAAACTCGAAGAGCGTGACTTGTGTGCATCCCTATAGAATCAGACACGATCAAATGTCGATCTCGTCCCCTAAAAAGAGACGTCTTCTGACCATTAAAGACCTTATAGGCCCAAACTGGAGGGCCATCATAAAACATTGGATTTGGAGCAGAAGGTCAACACAATTATTGCGTTGTTCCTTAAGAAGTGGATCATATTTCACAGGGTCAATACATCTTGTAAAACACATTAAAACACCCATTTCTGAAGCAGACACAAGCGATGGATTGCTGATTTTGCGGTTCAACACATTTTATAAACAGCACAGGCTTTCACTCTGTCAATGTGCAAAACACATGATTCTTTTGTCAGGCTTCTGTTTTGCCTGCGCGCCGCTATGTTGAAGACTGGGTCGAAGCATTCACGGAAGCAACAAACGAAGAACCTGTAAATAAACAAACCAAGAGCCTGACCACGAAGGCACGGGGTTAGGTTTTCATGAGGTGACAAAGATTTAGATCTCTTGAATACATGTTGCCCAAGATACATAAATAGTGAGAGACAGGAGTAGTGTTTTCGCAGAGGGTCAGTACATTCTTTATAAGGAGCAGGCTCCGCCATGCTGAAGTTGACTTGTAGCGTCTTGACATTGTATAAATCCAGCGGTTTAACATTTTA